CTAAAAAAAATTAGTTTCAGGTCAGGATGTGAAAGCAATGCATTATTGAGGGAATTGTATTTTATTTTGCAGGTGAGGATATGCCTGAAAGAGTAAAGGAGCAGTCATGTTTCATGCTCAGAAGCATGTCTGATGGAGAGATTCTTCAGTTGAAGCAATCAAAAGGGAGTGGAATTGAAATTTATAAGAGAAAAAGTAGGACAAGGAAGTTTTTTTTTTGATTATTATAAATCTTGGATTCACTTACTTATAACCAGGATGGTTCTACTAATGAATAGCACTTTTTGACTTGAGAACTTTTCCTGTTATATCACTGTATTTAATACATACATTCTACATTTTTTTTTTTAGTTCTAATGTGATATATCCAGATTTAACATCTTAGACAACTTGTATAAGTCTAAGCAATATCTTGGGGTCGACAATGTCAGAAAACATCAAGTATATCTCAGAATTTTCCAAGGCAATTGGTTCCTGTCATGAGAAATGAAAATATCATATAACGAATGTGAAATAATTGGAAAAGATGTCTGAGAATGAGCACCTTTGCATGAGATGACACCACATTGGCAGGTATATTGCTTGTGAGAATTATATGATATTCTATTCAATTATCATATGATGATAAGACATACACAATGGGAAGAAGAAAGTTCTTAAGGTTGAAAGGGAAAAGTCTGAACTTAGGTAACATTTGTCGTCTGATTGTATGGCATGGTGGTTGGAAAGATGGTTCAACAATTAAGACTGCTTGCCATTCTTTCAGAGGACCTAGGCTTATTCTACATTTTTCTGTTCTTTTGAGGACCTTATCCATTTGGATTAGTACCTTGCCCTTGTGAACCCATTTTTTTTTTCCGGAGCTGAGGACCGAACCTAGGGCCTTGCGCTTGCTAGGCAAGCACTCTACCACTGAGCTAAATCCCCAACCCCGAACTCAGTTAATCTTAACTACCCGTTTAAATGAACAGTATCCAAATGTTGTCACATTATAGGTTAGAGCTTTAACAAATGAGCTTAGATGGGGAATAATTAAGTTCATAACAAATGAATTAGAGATTTTGTTTTGTTTTATATTTTGTTTTATTAAAGCTTATCTAAGTAACTGGATGGATACATTAATAAATCAACCCAGATAAAGGTTTTAGTGTGCAACAAAATTTTTATGTGTAAAAGCTCCTAGAAATTTTTTTCTAAATTGTGAGTTTCTTTAGAAACTGATATCTAATGTATTCTCAGTATTAGGGTAAACTAAGGTGGGAGAATGGTTAGAACAAGGGGTGAATCATGTTTACCTTGTAAGCCATGGCTTCAATGCTATATACAAAGTACTGATCCTATCCAGGTCGAAGGTAGGAGTCACAGAATAGAGAGCTACCTGCCTCCACTAGGAGCAATAAGGGTGTGCCACACTGATAATAGTGAGGCATCCTTAAGATTTAATGTTTCCAAATTAAAGAAACTAAGCCAAGGATACTAACAGATTCAGTGTGTGACTCATGAACAGGTCTAATGCCTGCTTTCTTTTCTTTAACACATGACAAAACTACATGGCCTCCCAGGGACAGAGAAATAAGCATCACAAGGGACCCAGACCACAGATATTTATGAGGTAGTATAGTCACTGCTTGGGGGAGGGCAAGGCAGTGCTTTAGCTTAAGATGTTTAAAACCTGGCTGCAAGAGAAGCAAGGAAGTGCACCTCAGGGAACAATTCGCTGCCAGGTTCTAGGGGATGGAAAAATGACTTAACGGCACTTTCACTGTCTCAACTTTGGTGATTTTTTTCCTAGTAAGCAGGTATCTTCTGTAATTCCCTTTGTAAATAGACCCATAAGATAGCAATATGCCTTCCTGTGACTTGACTTGTATAAATCATTATTGCTGCTTTTGACACACAGAGTTAGAAATTCATCTTGAGGAATGAAATAAACCAAGTGGACTAAGCTAAACATCATTTCTTTGCCTTAAGTCCTGGATAAATCAGGTCCAGCTCAGGGGCACGGAGATGATTTAGGGCTCTAGGAACTGTGAAGTTCACACAGTTCAAAAACTGGCAGGAGCTTCCAGGGTATCTGTGAGAACTCCTGACATTAGGTGTCAGGGACACACTTGTGGATTGAAATGGTGAGGTGAATGAGAGGAGCTGGACACTGTTAGGTGCCTGGAAATCCAACCACAAGCTTTCTTTCCAACATGGCATCTTCAGTGAGTCTTCCCACTTTTGGCAAGAATATCCAGTGCCCTGCTCATATATCGGCGTGCCAAGCCTTACTAGAATCTGGCTGCAGGTTCTCAGTACTTCTCAGTTGGGGGTATTCTAAAGTTCAACACAAATTCTCTGTCAGTCAGAGAAAACAAAACAAGACAAAACACACAACACCAAAGTACTGAGATCTTCCTAGACAAGGAGACTAAGACCACTCATTATTTTGAATTCCAATAAAGTGGATTCAGATGTCTCCTATTTGTGCTGCCTTGCTTTCTGTACAATGATTTTTTTTTTAGGTATTTCTCTACTGATTACAATATGGTAGAGACAAGAAAGAAGGTATTATAAATTTTACTATCAAACATCCAGGAAAAAAATACCTTTCCATCTAATCTCAACATTCTAGACCTGGAAGGTTCAATTTTTTTTTTTTTTTGGCTCATTTCATGTAGCTAGCATAAAACTGAAAATAAACTAGGTAAGAAACACATATATGTGCACTCAAGCATGTTTACTTGAATAAACATATGATAGAATTACCAAAGCTCTAATGCAATTGTAAAAACATCAGCCAAGAAAATTTTGTATCATATCAAAGGATGGATATAGCGTGGGCTACTGAATTTACTCTGGGATGAGTTTATGATTAGGAAAACAAGAAATGCAACTGATTCTGTTATCAGGTTAAAGGTCATAAAGAAAAAATATACTACTCAGCAGGTGGTATCAATAGAGCGTTTTACATTTTCAGCGTAGTATTTCTTGTTCCACAAAGTCCACTTTAATGGTAGAGTGCCCATTCTGTGACAGTGTTTGGATGTGAAGAAATCAGTAAGAATGGCTTTGTATAAATTGGTTGGGACACCAGGACATATCCTAGAAGGTGATTGAGGACTCTGTTTCTTCCTCTCTCTAGCTGTATGTAGTGGTTTAAAAGAAAATAGGCCCCAAAGGGAGTGGCACTATTAGGAGGTGTTGGCTGTGCTGAAGTAGGTGTGGCCTTGTTGGAGGAAGTGTGTCAATGTGGAAGTGGGCTTTGAGGTCTCTTTTTCTCGAGCTTCCCTCAGTGTGACAGGAAGTCCACTTCCTGTTGCCTTCTGATCAATATGTAGTCAGTACCATGTCTGAGTACACACTGCCATGCTCTCCACCATGGCGGTAATGGACTGAACTTCTGAAACTGTAAGTGAGCCACCTCAATTGGATGTTTTCCTTTATAAGAGTTGCCATAGCCATGGTGTCTCTTCACAACAATAGAAATCCTAATTAACTCTATCAAGAATTGCAAGTACTTACTTCTACCGTCGTCCCACAAAATGTTTTACTGCCTAACTGTAAATTCAAAGCAGCATGACCAACTGAACTTGGAATACAAACTCCAAAACTGTGAAACCAAGCAAATGTTTGTCTTTATAGGTTGACTGTATTAGGTACTTGTTATAGTGATGAAAAACTGACTAATACAGTGCTATTAGTAACAGTATAATTTACAGATTATAGGACTGTCTACTTCAAAAACAGTAAATTGAAAAAAAAATTACCTGGAATTGCCAATGTACTACAGTATTGTTTATGAATACAAAATACACAGGGAACTCTAGAGCTATTCTAAAGCAAGAGAACAAGAAATAAGTAAACATTAATTAAAGAAAACTACAACACTGTATATACATTTATGTGGGTTGTAATAATGTGTATGTGTATATGTGTGTATAATAGGAGTTAGTGTGTTTGTGTGTGTGTGTGTGTGAATAAACAGATATCAGCTCCTATGACCATGAAAGTATTTATTCTCCTGAATTAGGCATTGGCATTAAGAGAATTCCAACAAGTATGCCAAGAATTTAAATTTAAATAGACTACACAACACGTCTTCAAAAGTCGCTAGTGACTCCAGCCAGGGAAGCAGGCAGGCTAACAGCAGATCTTCTTCAGCTCCCCCAAAACCACTTCCCCTGTCTTATCCCCAGCCTTGTAGTAGACCACCTGCTGCAGTCTCTCTTCAGATGACCCCACCTCCACCCCCTGCCTCCATTTGCAGTGGATCACACAGAGCTTCCCCTCCTAAGTTACTCCTCTTATGCAATGCTTTATCCCAGCCCTAGACTTCAGCAGATTATCGCTGGGAGCCTCCAGGCCACTCCAGCCAGGAAAGCAGGTAGGCTAACTTCAGATCTTCACATCTCCCTTCATTCTTCATTTTTTTTCTCCAAATACCAAATAGACTGGACCAGAAAAAAGAAAAAAAGTCTCCTCAGCAAATAATAATTAAAACACTAAACCTGAATGAAAGAAAGAATATTAAAAGCTGCAAGGAAAAAGGATCAAGTAACATATAAAAGCAGACCTATTAGAATTACAGCTGACTTCTCAATGGAGAATGTAAATCCCAGAAGGGCCTCGACAGTTGTTCTACAGAGTCTGAAACCACAGATATCAGTGCAAACTACTATAACCAGCAAAACTTTCAATCACAATTGATAGATAAATAATACATTCCATGATAAAACCAAATTTAAGCAATATCTATCTACAAATTTAGCCATACAGAAGGTGCTAGAAGGAAAACTTCAACCTAAAGATGTTAACCATACCCAAGAAAACACAGGAAGAAATAATTCCAGAGCAGACATAAATACACACACACACACACACACACACACACACACACACACACACACACACACATACACACACACACACACACTCATTCACCTATAGACACCTGGTTTTTTATTAAGAAGCCAAAAATACACACTGGAACAAAAGGCAGCATCTTCAACAAATGATGCTAGTCAAACTAGAAGTTTTAATAGATCCATACTTATCACCCTGCACAAAACTCAACTTCAAATGGATCAAAGACATTGATATAAGACAAGATATACTAAACCTGATAGAAGATACAGTGAGAAATAAGCTTGACCTCATAGGAAAAGACATGAACAGAACACCTTTAGCATGAGCACTATGATCAACAATTAACAAATGAGACTGCATGAAACAAAACTTTCTTTACAGCAAAGGACACAGTCAGTCATTCAGATAAAGTGTAGCCAACAGAATGGGAAAAGATTTTTACCAACCACATATCTGATAGGGGCTTATTAGCCAAACTATATAAAGAACTAAAAAAGAAACCCCTAGATATCAAGAAAACAAATAAATCAATTAAAAAACAGGGCACAGATCTAAATAGATATATTTCAAAAGAGGCAATTGAAATGGCTGAGATAACACTTAAATAAATGCTCAACATCCTTAGCCATCAGGGAAATGCAAATCAAAACTATTTCATCTTACACCTGCCAGAATGGTCAACATCAATAAAACAAACGACAGCTTTTGCTGGCAAGGATGCTGAACAAGGGGAGCACTCATCCATTGCTGGTGAGACTGCAAGCTTGAGCAGACAACATGGAAATTAGTGTGGCAGCTCCTGAGGAAGATGGGAATCCCTTTAGGTAAAGATGCAGCTATAGCACTTTGGCACATATACAAAAGGATGGTTCATCCTACCACAGAGACTCATTTTTAAACAACATTCACTGATGCTATATTCAAAATATACATAACTTAGAAACAATCTAGGTGTCTCTGATCAGCTTAATTGACAAAGAAGATGTGGTACATTTACATGATAGAATATTGTTCGGCCATTAAAGAATGAAATCTGCAAATAAATGGATGGAACTAGAAAATATCATCTGGACTAGGGTAACCCACAAAGACAAATATTGTATTATTCACTTATATTTAGACATTAGCTATTAAGTCAATGACAACCACACTGTATTTGTTAGAACCACAGAGGTTAGGTACAAAATAAGTGACTAGGAAGAGAGGTAGACAAAATAGATAATGATGGATAGTTGGGTTTGGGGAAGAGAACCAAGTGGAGGAGGGCAGATAGATGGTCAAGGGTGGGAATATGTGGAGAGACAGGCAAAATTAAGGGCGTTTTGGAGGGATAGTATAGGAATCTAGCACAGCAGAATTTTGTTAAGATACATGCACATATAAAGGCCATCAAAATGAAGTTACCAAATAAAGCGTGAGACAGATCCCAAATTGGAAATTTCTTGACACCAAATGAAGCTTTCAGTATCAGGATTTGGTTACATCTAATTGGGATGTTGGCCAAAGAAGTCACTTAAAAATTCCAAGCAGCCAAAGCTGTTGCCAAGACTATAGGTTATTCTCTACAAACTGATGGTAAGGCCCCATTGCTGATGACAACACCTATACAACTTGTTGCACATGGAGAAATGGAGATAGTAGCTACATAAAGACTTCATCCCTACATACTAGTGTCTATCTTATAGGAACATACTCTGCATATTACCAAAGGAAAAACATTAACACCAAGCAAGGCACAAACCCTTTGATCTATAATGGTGTCCTGCCTGCAAGATATGCTAGGGCAATAATGGCATTAAGCTTGTGGGAGTAACCAACAAGTTTCTGATTTGACTTAAGGCCTACTCCATGAGATGCAACCCATACCCAACATTGCTTGGGTGGCCAGGAACTTGAGAATAGATAGCCTAGGGATTTAGGGTAAAACCAAGTACTACGGTACTAAAAATAAAAAGAGTAATACAATGATGCTTAATGACATTCTGCTATACTCAATAGATCATTGCTTTGATGAGGAATTATCAGAGAAGTTTCCTCCTCCAGCATATTTGGGAACTAATATAGAGATCCATATAGCCAGGCATTATGCATAAATGAGAATCCTCAGAATATTCAGCCCTAAATGGGATGTCTCCATCAAATCCTTCAACTGAGGGCTCAGGAACCCTGCAAAAGAGGAGGCAGAAAAAGTGTAAGAGCCAGAGGAGATTGAGGATACTGTGAAAACAAGGCTTTCTAAATAAACATGATCAAAGCATATATGAACTCACAGAGACGGAGCGGCATGCATAGGGCCTCTGCAGGTTTGTACCAGATTCTCTGCACACATAATATGGTTTCCAGTTTAGTGTTTGCAGAATGTTCAACAAGTGGGTCTCTGATTCTTCTGACTTCTCATGGGTTCTTTTCCTTCTGTTTGCTTTGTTCAATTCCAATGTCTTAGGTTTTCTCTTTTTTATTATATTATATTATTATATATTTTTATTATTATCCCTTAGATATCTGTTTGTTTCCTCTCATGAGAAACAGAAAAAGAGTAGATCAGTTTGAAACAGGAGTTGGAGAGGAACTGGAAGAGCAGAGGGAGGGGAAACAATAATCAGGATATGGTTTTTATATAAGGAAAAAAAACTTTTTCAATGAAAATAAATATGTTACTATTTTTAATGAGCCATATTTATGTTTTACTCCTTAGACCATATAAATATTATAGCCTCTAAGGTTAAAATAATTTATTGATTATTTAAAATAGAAAAATCAATCATTGAGGAATAAAAGAAATCAGAAGGAAATAGTAAGATGGAAGAATAATATAAAAGAAGAAATATAATACTAATAAAACAGAGATAAAATGCAAATTTTTGACTCATATTTCTCAGGATAAACAAACATGGGTCACATGTAATTTAAGTACAAATATATTCTTAATTTTAAAAACAGCTCAAGATACATTAAAATAGGGTAATGACTTTTGCATAAAATAACAACAACAACAACAAAAATTCTGAGAGTAAATATTGACAGAATCTTTTCAACTAAAAATTTTAAATATCTATATAAATCAATAAGATAATTCACAAAAACATAAGTAATATGGAAGAGGTATTTTTCTGTATGTGCTGTAATCACATGATTGACATATTGTTCTATAGGACTTGTTCTCTAATGAAGAGGAAAAGACATAGGAAAATTGAATGTGTACCTGAATAGATCACTCTTCAAAGATGTTAAAGAAGCAATTATACCAGTTCATAATATTTTAACTTAGAATTTGTATTTTATTTTGTGTTTGTGCATTGATGGGTGGTTGCATGTGTGTGCTTATTTGTGAGTACGTAAATATATTTGTGAGTGTGTAAATATAAGGGGGAGCCTTGGGTGTATCTCTATTTTATTTTCTAGTAAATTTATTTTACTGGAACACCCTGCATACTAACTTATTTCCTATAAAATATTTTGTGTGATCAGGTAGCTATATGTGTATGTTTCAAAGATTATAGTTTAAACTATCATAGGTTCATATTTTGTAGAATTACTGGAGTCATGGATGGCCATTCTGTTCATCTCTAACACTTACCTATTATTATTTCATAATATATTATTTGTGAAATGTGCAAATATATCCATGTGCACATACATATGTGTATATGTATATATAACATAAATGTCCATAATTTCTTTTATAAAGGTAATTCTTGACAATAGTTAAAGTTAAGAACATCCTCTTTGTAAAATGTTCTGAGTCCCTTTGCTAAACTACCTTTCCCCTCCCAGTTCTCTGGTCCTCAGAGCCTGACTTTTGACGTTAGGCACAGTCTCATCCACAATCCAGTCCCAGACAGCTCTGCTTCCACAGCCACAACGGAAAGTCTAAAAGTAAAAGCCACATCCATTTTGTACTTTTACTAAAGGAAGTAGATGTTGCTACACAAGCCAGTCTTCGTTGATGGAAGCAACTCACTATGTACAGTCTATGCATAGGAGGAAGGAGTCAACTTTTTATTTTTGGCTCAAAGAGCACACTTTGCAAACCGAGGATGGGACCAGACTGTGAGCACTTCTAGACATTCAGGGTTCATGACGTTCCAGTGTTAATTCCTTCTACAACCAGAAGAGAGGCACAGAGGTCACAACGAGTGCAGGCATGCAGCCTTATCACTGCCTTGGACTTTTGTCTTCATAGCAACACAATTGTAATGTCAACCTTTTGTTTCTTAAATTGAGGGAAGGTAGCATCAAATCCTATATAGTGTTATACAGTGCTGGGTAAATCATAGTTGGAGTAAATGCTGGACTCCCAGATTGTTTCAAGTGTATGACAGCCAAAACATGCTATCTCTTTCAAAAAACTCTGTCTACACCCAGGATAGGCATAGCTAGGTCTCTTATCTTTTTTCTCACGTGTCTGAGAACAGCTGTGTGTCTGCACCCAGGATAAGCATAGCCAGTTCTCTTAATTTTTTCCCCACATGTCTGAGAAAAGATTTGGAATTCTATTCAAATGTCACAAAACCCCCTCTCTACTAGAAAGTAGACCTTAATATTGTCTCTATAAATCCCCCAAATCAGAAAGTAGCTTACATAAGACCAAGGTTGGTTTGCAGGTTCTTGCTACCCACTGTTGTTCTTATTTTGAAGTTGGCTTCTTGGAGTTTTGGAAAAATCAAAAGAAAATAGACTGTTTTGAGTTAAGGAATGGGAATTTTTAAAGTATCAGGAAAGGTAAGTCCTTACTTTAAGCAGATTTTTGAGAAATCAGATTGAATGGTAAGAAACAAAGTTTATCTGGGAACTGCCAGTCAACAAAATCAGCTGTTACTTGTAACATGAGACTCCAAGCCTCAACTCACCAGGCTTGTTATCCCACTAACATAAATGACACAGATGTTGGGCCCGCAGGCAGGATATACATGCCTGCTCAGCTTAAAGAGGATACTAAATCAGGACTGCAGCTTTTCTTCCTCATACAATTATATGGGTTACTATCCCTTGAGGCGGGAATGAGGCTCAGGAGGCATGGCACTATATATAAGAGAAGCCAAGAAATTACTACTGTGTTTTGGTAACTATGTATACTGATGGTCAAAATACCTTGAAGTGGCACAACTTTCCTGAAGTTACAGTTAGAGCCCTTCCGTTTAAGAACTAAGGTGCCAGAGCACTCTCTCAGTTGCCATACACATCTACTTAACAAGGACTGTATTGTCAAAAGTCCCAGCTTCATTACAGCACCCTGAGAATGTGTGTTTGAGTCCATCCTCTCCCCCACCTACTACTCTGTGAGATTGTAAGATGACTGAGGGAAGAAGGTTACTAAATTAAGATCTGGCCCACCATGTAAAAGAATCAGCATACCTCAGTCTCACGCTACCAACCACATAAGAATTGGCCAAAATATTAGGCATATCTTCGAGATAGATCCCAGTGGGCTGTCATGCACTAAATCTCTCTCCTTGCCTCTGTACACTGCCTTTTTCTTGTCTTTGTTTGTTAAATAGGCTTGTGTTTTAACTGGATCTCTGTGTTGAAGAGCTGATCTCTTTTTGTCCAGAAGACAAGAATCAAGGTGGACAAAAACCTTCCATGAGCAGAATTCTGTCTGTACCGTATGATTCCATAGAGAAGTTAGGTACGACTGCCAAAAGCCAACGATCAGAAAGGGACCAGAAAGATGACTCAGCCATCAAAGGCTAAGGCTCAGAGCTTAACGGACAGCAGTTTGGTTCCCAAATAACCAAAAAGTTCAAGGATAACCTCTTTGAGTGGCACAGGGCAATAGGAATTGAGACCTTAAAAAAAAAAGTCCAATAAGGATTCCAAACTTGGTTCAAAAGCGGGTTCTGTATGAATTTCCCAGTGACTGCACAGTAGGTCTTGATGTAAACTCTGTACTGGGGCCATGATAAAAGAAAGACAAACAAACAAACAAGCAAAAACTACTGAAGTTCCTCTCAAAAGCATTATAGCAAGAGGCCTCCATTCAGTCTCAAATCTCTGTTCTGCCCCAGATAAAGAAAATAGAAGTGAAGGCGGTGAGGATGAAGATGTGAGACAAGAGAAAAATGGCAAGTCTCGGGGCTTCTCTAAGCAAAACATATGTGTACAGAAAAATAAAAAAGGATTAAGCCAGTGCCATTTTTTTTCCTGAAGAATAAACCAAAGCAGACACTGAAATGGCAGTGACATTGGTGGCCCGAGTGTCCCCTACTGCTTTCTGTTAAGGCTGAAAGAAGGAGAAGAAAAGCTCCACGAGAGACTTCAATTTCATTATGTTCCCTGCAGTCGAAAAGCAATGGTAAGTGGCGTCAAGGTCTTTATAGAAATCTGAACAATCGCAACTGCTTCCACAGTGTTTACTTTGAAGGGGGGGAACATATATTTTTCTCCACATGAAAACAAAAACAGTAAAAGCCATCCTTGGCGAGGCTAAGTACACAGACCCGAGACGAGAAGGTACAGGAAGTAGGCTGGCAAACATCCCCTCTTGCTTTGCTTGTCCGGGGGAGGACAGTGTGTCATGAGGAGAAAGAGACCTCACCTGCTACAAAAACACCTGCTTTGTTTCACACCAGCTCCCAGGTTGCTCGTAGAATGCTTAGAATGTGTGTGGCTTCGATTTTAATTCACGTATTTAAACTATGTTTCTGATAATCTCTTAGGGATTCCTCTTCAGGCTTTATAGTTTTTGTTTATGAGATAATGTAGTTCCCAGATGCAGATTGTAAAATCCCAGAGATATCATGTTCTTTTAGTCCCATTGTATTTACTGAATAATGCTATGAGGAGATTTGGATGTACCAGAAGACAACACTGAATAGTGAATAAATGGACAAGGGCACATTCTACTAAAAATCATCTCAAGAATTAGTTGTCGACCCTAATTTCTTGTCAATTAAGTCTTATGGAGAACTTTGCAGGTCTCATTTTCATGAAAATGAAGAGTCATTTGAGGAAATCTCCAGTCTCTTCATTTTCTAGACTATTAGGAGTGTTACTCTGTACTGTGGGAGCTTTTATGGTCCCTGGGGGATAAGAGCAGAATGTACATGTATGCTAAACACATCTCAGTATTCATAACAATTTGTCTACAGATAAGGTTGTGGACAGCATTCATGAGTGAGGGTCTTTAGCAGCACTTACTAACCTGGGGTTTCAGATCTGTGTTTATAACAGGAAATGCAATTATTAATTTATGCATGGGAAATCCTAGATGCCATAGGATCTGATGATAGTAAGAGAAATTATGGGAGGTGACCAAGGTTGAGCATGAGCTTGTAGGGTCCTTTGAACTGCACTTTATTCACTCTAATGTGTAGGGTTGGAGGATGTTCCCTGATGGGACTAGCATGTGCTGTACTTATCACTCATTGGACAACATTCTCTTATTGGTTGAAGTATCCTAAAAAAAAAAAAAAAAAATTCTTGACAATTTGGTGAGAACTACAGGCTTTGGGGTTAGAACAATAACTTGTAGGTTGTTAAGATTCTAACAAATGCCCTTCAGATTTCTAGTTATTACTCCAATGGTGGACAAGAAGTGTCTTGCAAATGACACTCCTGATGCTTTCCCTTCTGTGTTTACGTATACAACTGTGTTCATTCATGAACTTATCCATCAGGTATTCTATCAGTAAGAAGAATAGAACTAATGTAAACTATTGTTAACACTCAAAGCTACAACAGTCCATAAAGTCATCACCCTTATTTATGACAATGCTCTAGAAGTGATACAGCATGTTTATATTTTATCTATGGATATAGAATCTGAATATTGAAGGGTGATGTGCCACCTGAATTGGTATCTCCACTTACCCTCATCACCTACTAGTGCTGTGGGATGTTCTGTATGGCAAATGTGTTGCTAATTAATAAATAAAACACTGATTGGCCATTGACTAGGCAGGAAATGTAGGCGGGACAAGGAGGAGAATAAACCTGGGAAGTGGAAGGCTGAGTCAGAGAGACACTGCCAGCCGCCACGATGACAAACAGCATGTGAAGATGCCAGTAAGCCACGAGCCACGTGGCAAGGTATAGATTAATGGAAATGGATTAATTTAAGCTGTAAGAACAGTTAGCAAGAAGCCTGCCACGGCCATACAGTTTGTAAGCAATATAAGTCTCTGTGTTTATTTGGTTGGGTCTGAGTGGCTGTGGGACTGGCAGGTGAGAGAGATTTGCCCTGACCGTGGGCCAGGCAGGAAAACTCAAGCTACAAATGGCGTCCAACGTGGTGGCAAGAGTTTCCACCTAAAAACTGAGAAAAAAGATTCTAAAACAGAGCTAAAAACAGCTTCCTAATCGTCTCTCTCAAATGAGCAGCAGCTGCCAGTTTGAGCTACTTGTGGGTTCCTAGCATACACCCTGTGGCGGGAATGAGGCCTCTGCAAGTGGCACATTAAGCTGCATGGTGGATTTAGCCTTTGCAGGTACAAAACAAAAAAGAGGTTTCTGGGCTACACACTGCTTGGTAAAATCATAGACCCACGAAAACTTCCAGAGCTGATGGTAAACATAGCCATGTTGGGAAGCTGAGGTGGGTGGAGCCAGCAGCCACAGCTGCTGCAGTTTAAAGCAATAGATTCACAATAAGACAGATTCAGATGTAATAGTTTACAATTATGTAAAATATACGTAGGCTTAAAAGAGATAAAAAAGGTGATATATACAGTTATAGAAACAAATACATAGTTTTAAAAAATAAAGTCTTTAAAGAGACAGTAAAATTAATATAAAAAGTAAGCCACGTAAAGATGAATATTACACAGAGAATCTGGATTGTATTGTCTTTGGGATTCTTAACTGCAGAGAGATACTTGATTGTAAAAGCTGTTGAGTTATGCCAAAATGTATATTTTAAAGATACCCTGACTTCAAAATTTGGATGTAAGGATATGTTACTTTGGAAACGAGACTCTGCTTTTGTTCCCACAGAAAGGCTATGGATTTGTTCCAGATTAAGATATATCAGGTTTGACCAGCCAAGACCCCCTGAAAGGTCTCCGATGACACCATGGCCCAGATGATCCAACATCCAGAGTGGTTTCAAGACAACTGGCTCAGACAATACAGCCTCATGGACTATTCCATAATCTTAAAATTTTCTTTGTGTCCCCATAAGATACAGTGCCCCCCTCCAGCAGGAAGTAGTAAGAGAAGCTACGCCCAAATTTCCAAATTATATGTAATTTTACTTTGTTAAGGTTAAAACCTTCTTTTTTTAAAAACAAAAGGGAAGCCGGGCGGTGGTGGCGCACGCCTTTAATCCCAGAACTTGGGAGGCAGAGCCAGGTGGATCTCTGTGAGTTCAAGGCCAGCCTGGGCTACCAAGTGAGTTCCAGGAAAAGGCGTAAAGCTGCACAGAGAAACCCTGTCTCGAAAAACAAAAACAAAAACAAAAACAAAAAAAACAATAAAAACAAAAGGGGGGGAAGTGCTGTGGGATGTTCTGTATGGCAAATGTGTTGCTGATTAGTCAATAAATAAAACACTGATTGGCCATTGGCTAGGCAGGAAGTGTAGGCGGGACAAGGAGGAGAATAAAGCTGGGAAGTGGAAGGCTGAGTCAGAGAGACACTGCCAGTTGCCACGATGACAAACAGCATGTGAAGATGCCGGTAAGCCATGAGCCACGTGGCAAGGTACAGATTTATATAAATGGATTAATTTAAGCTGTAAGAACAGTTAGCAAGAAACCTGCCACGGCCATACAGTTTGTAAGCAATATAAGTCTCTGTGTTTATTTGGTTGGGTCTGAGTGGCTGTGGGACTGGCAGGTGAGAGAGATTTGCCCTGACTGTGGGCCAGGCAGGAAAACTCAAGCTACATACTAGTTTTACATGTTGTATGGAGATGCATGGAGAAAGATCTGTCTTTCAGGATTCTTTTTTTATAAGTTCAGTGTATAAAGGTATGACTAATACAATGAGTACATTCCTAGGGTCAAAAATAAAATGCTATCAGAATTCTGGACAGGAAGAGGTTATTTGGAAGTACAGCAGAAAGTACAGGAAGATTTCATGGAAAATAGTACCTTTCACAGGCATTCCTGAAAGCTGTATGGTCATATAGATGGAGATGTGAGAAGGTCTCTTCAAGGAAAAGGTTAAGTAGGAAAAAAATGTTGAGAAATAGAAAGGCACAGGGTGTTTTGTGAAAGGAAAAAATAAGCCAATAGTAGAAACTGCATGGGCAACAAGGTGAAGAGAAGGTAAAATGACTGACATTCAATCTCCAGGAAAAATGTATGAAATGAATATGAAGTTAATGTGAGGTCAGCCCAGACAGACTTGAGAGTATGGCCTGGGCTTGGGTTTTTCTGGTTGGTACTGGGCAGCCTCATAAATGCTTTCTAAGTCAGCAGTGGCATGTGTAGTAAGTGTAAGCAGGCATGCAGTGAGTGGCATGTATAAAAGTGTAAGCAGATTTAGAATCTCCAAAAGAGGAATCAAAAAGAAGCGTAAAACTCTGGGTAGAAGTTTGCTTCAGAAAATTTGGTGATGGTGAGAATCAGGGAGAACAACGAACCTCAGACAATGAAATATTTCCTTACATTTAGCTATATCCTCATTCATGTATAAAGACACTAACAGATAGACGTGCGTACTCTGTAGTTCCTTACTACAGGACCATGCATGTTCAGCCAAAATGACAATTATATCCTCCCCATGGGAGAGAGCAATAATGCACACTGGCTACTTTTCATTTCCCCATTAATTTTAATTACTAAAATTGAACGTATTATTCTACCTTTACAATTTCATATCATGCATGCCTGCTGAGAATCCTTCCAAACTGCATTTCAAACAATTCCATTTTTCATGTCTGTGTTAAAAAGACAGGCAAGAAATAACATTGCATTCCTTGCAGATCTGCCTTTAATATGCATCTTCTTTATGCCTTCCTCCTTGAACAAAAAATAGCATTGGAAACCTCTGAACCAGTATTTTGGGGGACTTTTGTCCCGGGGAAGGAAAAGGCTTCACTGGGAACACAGACCAGTGAACCCACTAGCAGTTCCTGCCAGCTTCCTAACCCTCCTCAGAGTTGTGTAGTGTTAGCTTGCTTCTGAACCAATATTTTCATGGGTTCCAACTGTCAGCATTAGGGAAATATACTGTGTACCTCCCTTTTCCTGTTTCCTAACACCTTGTCCTGCTGCACAGATTTCTTCAACACCGACAGAAAATACAAAGCACACGTCCTGGTAGTCACACCATCGAAGGCCTCCATTTGCATACCCTTCATAATTCAATTTAATTTTTTTTTTGTCAAGAGTCCTGAATGCTTCATGTTTGCTTTAATCAGAATGTTGACATTTACACTGAAGCCAATTTCTCTTTTTCTCCTCCGTGTTTTGTTTAACCACGACAAGTGACAGCAAACTGGGAAGAACAGACTTTTTAAATTGGCTCCTTGCCCAGAATGCATCATTTCTCCTGACGCTTTCCCCCTTTCAATGCATTGCAAGAGGAAATGTGAAAACACTCTTCCAGCACAAGACTGAGGTGTTACTGCTCTTAGATAAAGATTTGTGTTGTATTTTAAAACTAGATTGCTGTACAGTTTCAAGCTATTAGCAACAGCCTATTACGCTGCGGCTCTGGGTCCCTGGGGAGATATGTTTAGTGTATTTCAGTAATTCAAGCCAAATAGAATACTACATGAGAAAATATCTAACGTCAAAAACATCGGCTTCTGAAAGCAGTGGGAAGCAATAAGCAAGCATGGCATCACTCACCAAGAAACTCCAATGTTTCCTCTGATCTTTCCAGGTTATGCCCCAAATGGTGGAGGGAAGTCCTATTAAGAAAACCAGCATGTGGTTATCTGTCTATCAGCCATTCAGAAAACCACCAATAGCAGCAGCATACACCTTCCCCTCTGCAGCAGAACAGGTTCCTGTTGAGGTCCACATTTGATGTCTAGTAGCTCCAGGAGATTATACTTTTAAATTTGCATATGCATCTGACTTAATCATTTAAATTAAGGGTTTGAACTTGTTTGTGTCTAACACGGGCAAAACTGCCCACTCACAGTCCGCATACTGTTTAAAATAAAAGGTATGTCTTCTCACAGAATTTAATCTGCCTCAACAGAGGGATAGCAAAGAGAAAATACAGATATTGAAATCATAACTTCCATAGATTGTAATAATATGTTCATTGGCTAGATATTTCCAGGAGTCACCAATGCTCTGATCTGCCCACAGGCAGAAATTTCCCCCCATAAGCCCTTGCAAACATGTCTGCCCAAGTCAGCTCCTAGGTATCAGGGATTTAGCTGGAGCAACCAAAAGAAAGTCTAGTGAGTAGGCAGGTAACCTTCCAGGCTTTCTTGTTGCCTAGCTGAGCTGCAATCTCATACAAGAACCATCACAAAATTCAGTCATGGAGAAAACTCGTGACCTCAGTAGGGATTTTTCAAATTCTGAATTATGATTTATGACTGTGAACTCAACTTAATTGCTTATGAATGTCATTGTGTTCACTGAGAAAGCACAGACCTGAAAATAACAGCTTTAGATTTTATTAAACTAAGCTTCTTGTGTACAGGGTTTTAGTCCAAGTACTGTGTGTGTGTGTGTGTGTGTGTGTGTGTGTGTGTGGCTGAACTATGAATTTTCTCAAGACACATGTCTTATTTCTCACTGAGGGTCAACAATAACAGCAAAACAATAATTGCTAAATACAGTGGTTTTGGTTGCCACCATCCTTGGTAACAAACTAAATGAACTTGCACTCTTTTTGTTAAAAGTAAGGAACTAAAACTACGAATAAACTGAAATATTCTTTGCCTATCTACTTGGTATGGCATCTCTAAGTCCATCTTTTGCCTCTTGTTAAAAACGTAAACTCACCTGAGGGAGAGAGTAGACATACAGTCCTACAAAACAAGGTGGTTAGAAAATTCTTCTCTTTACCACCAGAGGCCCAAAGGGGGACAGAAACAGTACTCTTACTTTGAAAAGGCACACCCCGGTTTGGGCATAAAAGGATCTAGCAAAAACAGATCAAAACAAACAAAAATGTGTAATAATGTGTGAAGAACGTTCAAGCTGAGAGAAGAGCAGCAAAAGAAGTTTATAGAAGGAAAAGAGAAAGGAAACTACCTTAAGGCTGGGCATGACACATACCTTCAAGCTCCAGACTCCACAGGCTGAGCAGACCAGCTGGTACACGTTCAAGGGCAGCTAGGAATATACAGCAACCAACCCTCAGTACCCAAACCAAACAACCAATCAGATAAACAAAAACCTCTTGGAAAAGCAAATCAACATAAATGTTATCAGTTGCTGCAGAGGAATCCACCAGCGTACATGTAGGGAGAGGAGGAAAAAAAATGTCTGAAATAATCGGACACAGTCCATTTAGCAGTTTAGGATTTCAGGAAATTATTTATAGTGGAAGGTGGTGTGCATGTTTTCTCCGAGTGGTTGCGTGTGTTCATGTGTATGGGATTGTGTGCATGCACGTGTGCATGTGGAAACTAAAAGGCAACTTCAGATGCCAATCCTCAGAAAAAGTCCTCCTTGTTTTTGTGAGAAAGGGTCTCTAAGTGAACTCATCAAGTAGGCTAGGATGACTAGCCAATGAGCTTCAGGGATCCATTCATCTCTGCCTTCTCAGCTTTGGGATTAAAGGTGCATGCCATCTGTCCAGTTTTTTGTTTTGTTTTGTCATGAAGGGTTGAGGATTGAACACAGGTCCTCATGCTTGTATGCTGCACACTTTGTTGAGTGACCTGTCTCCCCAGCCTTATAACGCTTTTTTATAAACACACAGATAATTGTCATAGAGTCAACTCATGATTTCATATTAATTTATTTTAATCTGAATAAATTTCAAGCAGAGTTAATGTCATTGGTATTGGAGATTAGAGATTGAACATAGTTTTTGGAGAAGACATAATTAATCCTTGAAAAAGCATTATTTATATAATATTTTTTCATTGTATCTTCTAAAGTAAAAGTAGAAAGAAGAGAAAATTGTGCCTCAAAAAGAAAAAAAATCCACATGATAGCCATATCTCAGACCATAAAACAAAATATTCTAGGAAAGGATATTTTGATAGTTAATTGCCATTATAAACTGCACTGGATTTAGAATCTCCATGGAAACATATCTGTGAGTTCTGGGTATCCCTTTGAATGTAGTTCCAGAAAGCTTCAATGGAGGAGGAAAAGTGAACTTTGGGGATGGAGGAGATGGAGGGGTGGGGGGTAATGTGGGGAATGGGGGGACCATTCCATGAACTGGGTGTAGGCTGTATAAAAAGGGAAAGGTGGGGTCTTTCTTCTGCCTGTCTTCGGGCACGGTGACACACTGCTCCTGTTCTGGCCACCAATCCTTCCTTCCCTACCACATGAACTCTGCCCTCGCGCTGGGGACCAAGACACACCCGTCTGCCTTCAGCGGCATTGGTCAGGTTTATGTCGGCATCTTCACATGTCCTGTCCTTCAGCTCTAGATGAAATTGCTTCCCGAAGCAGTTCTTGACTTAGACAATAGACGTGGTTTTTTTGTTTGTTTATTTGTTTGTTTTTCTTACTCTTCTAGAGTCTTGTATTCTAAGATCAGGGTGTCAAGGAGTTGGCCATATTGATGGTGACTTCTTCCTCCTCATTCCCTTTTTGATCTTCTTTACATTTTTAAATGTGTTGTAGTTAGCATAGAAAATAATGGTTTTCTTTATGACATTTAAAACACATATATCAAGGACATGTCCCGGTCTAGATTCCTGACTCACAGTTCCTCCCTCTCTCTCCCTGTATGTATTCTCTCTCTCTCTCTCTCTCTCTCTCTCTCTCTCTCTCTCTCTCTCTCTCTCTCTCTCTCTCTCTCTCTCTCTCTCTTTCCCTCTCTCTCTCTCTCTCTCCCTCTCCCTCTCCCTCTCCCTCTCCCTCTCCCTCTCCCTCTCCCTCTCCCTCTCTCCCTCCCTTCTCGTTCTCTGTTCTTTTAATTCCACCCAAACAAACCTAGTTGTAGTTCATAGATTTCTCTTTCCACCTGGAATTATTACTTTTTTTCACATCAAAGGGAAGACTTTCTTTTTACATGATCAGCTAGACCAAGAAATCTGATTTTCTCTTCTAAAATGTTTTCTCTAGAACTTTGCAGTGCTATAATTTATGTTTGGGACATATTTGTGTTATTTTGTCTTGTGGGTTTGTTGTTGTTCTTTGTCTGTTTTTCCTCAGAACAAATGGTTACTCTGTACCCCAGGCTATCCTTGAACTTCTTAAGGTCTTTTTCTCATCCTTCCAAGAGCTGGCATTTTAGGTAAAATTAAAATTAAAAAAATTAAACTGGAGCTGGGCGGTGGTGGTGTGTGCCTTTAATCCCAGCACTTGGGAGGCAGAGGCAGGTGAATCTCTGTGAGTTTGAGGCAAGCCTGATTTACTAAGGGAGTTCCAGGTCAGTGAGGACAGTTACACAGGGAAACCCTGTCTTGAAAAGAAATGAAACTACTCTACACTGTTTAATTTTGCCACAAGAAATTAACCTAATATTTTTTAGCTTCCATTTTCTGTTTTATTTTAATACCCATTTTCCCTGACTAGAATGTACTATTTTGGAAACAGAACTTGGTTTACCTTTAAAAGAGCTGTTTATTTTTAGTATGATTCCTGGCACCACATTCATCTGAGATCTGTTGAGTACAAATGATAATAGATGCTTTCACCTTGCATTTTCTTGGTTTAGTCACTCATTATTCTAAAGCAGAAATGCATTTCATCTTCCTGGTGATAGGTCTTCCTTGTTGCTCCTCTGATAATCTGAAAGTATCAGCAAGCAAAAGCAAGGGCCTGAGTGACAGGAGCAAAGGCCTGACTGACAGGCTTATGGCTTTGTGGCTCCATCCTGAGGATAATTAACTCTTCTAGACCAGCTGTGACCCCTGCTGGGAGTCAGCCTGTGCCCAACATGATGAGAGAATTGGTCCCAAATGATGCCACTACACATGCATCTCTGCAGTACGAAGTGATTTTAATGAACGGAAGGGCTGCCAAACACCAAAACCAATGCAGAATATGGGGGCCAGGTGGTCCCCCAGAGACTCTTGCAAATGATTGGAGGATTTTAGAAAGCATGTCCAGTGTTCAGATTGTGAGAAGGAGACAGCAGTGAGCCCACACCCTTCCCCATCTCCTCACACTGTTTCCCATGGATTGCTGGATATTTCTCCATGTCTGAATATCAGGAAACAGAAACTTTGCCTCTAGGTTTTAGCCTTTTTTTTTTTCCTCACCTTTTAAAATGCAAATACTTTAGGGAAGGGAACAGCTGGTCAGTCATTTTGGTCTTAATGTAATGAGTTTATTAGAACCAGCCTGCAGAGGGAATTCTGACACTGTACAGAAGATCCCACAAACAAGGCTCTCTTTTGAAGCTTGCCAGGGCTGGATAATTTCCCCACAGGAGTATTTCCCAGACTCATTGCAGTATGATGACTCTCACACTTGCAGATGGGAGGCAGAGTGCAAAAAGTGAGTAACAGGATCACAGTAGAAGCTGTCAGTGTGGGTTGAGCTGCTGTACAGACAGGTAAAGTAACTACAAAATCTTTTATATTTCACATTATGAATAGCCAAAGAGCACAGTGAATTCTTGCTAGAGTCCTTTTATTTTATTTAGGAAAGTCCTATGTTTTAAATATTAAGATAACAGCTGCAACTGAAATGAAGCTAGGAGGTGTTTAATATGGCACAACAAGACTGAAACTAGCTGGCTTAGAGTGGGGTGGCCACCCAAGAAAGTGGCATTTGTGTTGAGGTCCGTGACCATGACAAGACTTCTATGAAGAGATAGGAACATATCCCGGAGTTAAGAGGAATTACAGGATGACCAGAGTGCCCACATTGATGGTAGAATTTTCCATATTTGTATCCTTGAAGTACCCTTTTCACAAGTATCAAGTACAAATGAATGTTAGGGAGAGTATTAGTAGAAAATTATATTTAGTTCAAGCCTTCACTATGGAAATTCTCAAA